GTTTACGAGACGTGACTGACAGTAGGGTTTGAGCAAACAACCAGGAATTGATCGTTCAATCTTTAACTACATTGACACTCCCCGCCAAATAAAGGGATCCATCCTTTTTTTCCATCACAACCAATACATGTTGACTTGGATGCCATTGCGAGAACCTGGGTCACACGGACAGAGCTGAAATGGAAAACAAACTGAAAAGCCAACACACCACAAGCACACTCACAGCACAACCTCACACTTCAATGACGACTTGCGCCTTCCAGTTAAAGGCATCCTCTTGACACATCCTCTTGCAACACAATCGCCACTTGCTAGAATGACTCTTGCAGAATGCAACGTGACCATAGCACCACCTCATGATACTCCACGCACATCCACCTATCTATTCACCATCAATTACCATTGCGATCGCTTGTCGCTCATTCTACCTCAGTTCTAGTAATGGTGACGTATGCAAGCCCCAGCCGTCCACACGTTTGCTCCCCGGTGTGTGGGACCGCAACTAACAATTATCTCCGTGTGCATTTCATTCTCAGCAATAGCCTCCCCGGCATGTACGACCCATCTGCTGTCTCTAACATCAATCAATTCATTCACGGATAAGGAAGACTCGAAACAACTTCAGAAGTAATCACGACGAAAATTTTAACAAAATTATGTAATAACAACAAGGTACGAAAACGAGTAAACACAATGAATCCAAAAAACACCAATTGATATGACACACCACACGTATATGCAAACAGTACAAATAACCTCGCCGATCATGTCTTGATGGAATTCCTTTGAAGAATCGCAGGACTTACACCAGTACGCCTACAACCCTTCTCACGTTGACGATTGTAATTTGTGGAATGTCCGGACACAAAAAAGATCAACCAACAATTACAATAATTGGAACTCACACAATTATTTAACACAAACATATGTACAATCAACACATCAAATGTTGTGGATTCTGGCACGACAAACTACCCTTGAAGAACTGTAGGACTTACAGCAGTACGCCTACATTCCTTCTCAGGTTGATGATCCAAGTGGAAGTCGTCCGGTCATAAACAGAATTACCAACAGCTAGATGACAGATGATATCAACTCAGTATATACAATATGAACATATGTACAAAATCACACACCAAGCACATTGGACTTCTCATTGATGCGCTACCCTTTGAAGAATTGTAGGACTTACAGCAGTACGCCTACAACCCTTCTCAGATTGACGCTCCAGGTTGGATAATCGTTGCAGAGTTCATTTGCTTACTTCCTTCTATCAGCTATATCCTCAAATCTGAACGGCAACACGCTCATATCATTGTATCGTAGAATATATATATTACTAACTGACACACTACATATCTGATCAACCAAGGGTAGAAACAGAGTAATTTACAGCAAAGATAATAATTTTCAAATAGTAATTTGAAACTAGAAATGCCTTTACTCATGCAAGTCAATTTAACAATTACCCTCTCGTACACACTTGGCTTATCCTCACTAAACTGACCAATATCTTTCGTCTTTTCAAGTTCACCATAACTATCAAAGCCATTGCACAAGTTACTTGAGTTGATGGACGTCCTCCTCATTGTGGATGACAACACCAACGACGACTGATTGATACCAGTTGATGAACTTAGCGGTGGATCGGAAGCTGTTGTGGTTCGGCATTCAGAAAATTCTCTAACTGCAAGATTACTACCACTGCCGTCTTTTAATTTTAGCTCAGGTTTAGCACTATCATCTGACGATAGGTGGGCTACGCGCTGACCAATTACACTGACTGTCTTACAATTATCCATAACTTCTGCAACTGCATCTGCGTTCCATTCTACTTCACGTTGTCGTTGTACAGAACCTTTGTTAAACTTAGCAGTATTAAGCATATCCCTCATCTCATAATGATCAACCCAAGACAAATTTGCACTATCGTGTTCATTATCACAAATATTCTCTTTACCGTCAATCTCATCATTTGCAAACTGTGTAATAACAGAAGTAGACAATTTTGGTTCCTCCTCACAAATCCCTAAAGATTTCATACCTTCACTCTGACTAGTAATACCTTGTAAACTTGTGGAGTCAGAACTGCACTCTATTCAACAATGGCTTACCAGTTGTAACTACAGACTTCTTCACCGCACAGTTATCGTCACACAATTCGGAGTAAGGCCTGGAGTTTACATTTAGCTTATCATTGAACTTGCTCATTGGTTCACAGTTCACCTTTGTATGCACCTCTTGCAAACGTGTACAACACATCCGTGTTTGTCTTGCAGCTTGTATCTTATCTGTTGAGGATGTACCACGGAAGCTGTTACACTCACTAAGTTTATATGCATTGCTAGACATCATAGAGCCTTATCGATATGCACCTCTCTGAGGCCTATTCGTCATCAATGATTGCGTTTTACCCTCAGACTGCTGCATTCTAGGGGCGGGATTCAATAGACTGGCAAACTTGCTCATAGATAGATTGACGCTATCTTTTACCAGTTTCACAATGTCATCGAACTTCGGCTAGATACCTTCATCCTCCATACGGGAGCTTATCTTCACCCACTTCCTTTGCAGTCGAGTGGGTAGGCGTCTTGCTATTACTTCTAGGATAAAACTCGAGTTGAGATCACTCATGTAATTCATAGAAATCAATGCATTCTTGTAAATCAGTAAATTATCCAAAAACTCAGTGAGTGCCTGGGAGTCATCCTGTAATTGATCACTATTACCCTCAACAGCCTCGAATAATTTCCCTACAATCATCGAGGGTCTTCCAAACCTTTGACGCAGTAGGCTCATAGCCTCGTAGTAGCCCCCTTTTGCCTTCATAAACTTACAGCACTGTGTAGCTCTTGAAGCATCTCCAGTGCAATACCTCATCAAATACATCAATTTCAATTCATCACTTAATAAAAAACTACTCAGCATGATCTCAGACTCCTTTACGAATTGTGAATAATCAGCCGGGTTTCCATCGAAACACCGTGGTTCAAATTTAGGGAGTTTGATGTTCCTATTATCCCTGAACGGCGAAACAGTAGCATCTACCATGTCATGCTTAACATCAGACACATCGTTACAATTAACAGACAAGTCACCATGACTTACTTTCCTGTTTGTATCCAAGACACTCTGTCCCTTCTTTGACCCAGGCATTGTTGAACTTGAGCAAATTCCAAAAATGTTCCAGATATTGCTTGTTCAAAGAGGACTTGACCGGCACCAGGAAAGATGAACGGTGACTATCCAAACTTTCACCAACTGTCTGAATCCACCAGAATCTGTTTCTACCGTGAGAAACTGACTTCACTGTCAGAAACTGTCAGCCGCGTCTCGTAAACCGTCAATGCCCAGCTCTTGCTACGCTGGGACTCACGCTGTCCCTCGAAGATTTTCAGAAACTCTTAGTACTAACCGATGCAAAACCAAAACACCAATTGGCTACTCGAGAATTTTTTATTGTGACACCAGCATATATCCGACTTTAAAATTAAGCTCTAACTAAGGTCTGTGAACAAATATTACAACAATAAATCACAATATTACTTCTGACAGTTTTGGTCTGACTTCTTTCTGAACAGCGACCGATGAGACGATGACTGGCTGATTGATGCCTCCTCGAAAATTGGGGAAGTTGGTTTTGAGCACACAACCATTAATTGATCTTTCAATCGTCAACTACATTGACAGCTACTCCTAAATAAAGTACGAATTAGTGTGTATAACGATTTGGATAGTGGTCTATAATTGGCGACGGGTTGCTGGACTATTCGAAGTGAAAACGCCGACTGAATACAAATTGCTTGTTCCAGTTCAAATAATTGAAATCTTACTTTCTGGATGTTTGTAACTTCTGGATTGCTATAATTACGGAATGTTGATGATTAAAATGCTTCAAATAAATTTCCCTCGAACTGGTGGTCTTCTTTTTCTTGTTGAGATGATTGGACGAGTAGATATCGAAGAAGTATGTTTTGTGACTCAGGACCATAGTTGCTAAGCTTCGGGTTAATATTGCGCGTGTAACCGTTGTGACCCTGTTGTCGATGCGGCTGAAGATTGAACGATCAATCACGTTTGTTTGATCAAACCCAAATCCAGCAATCCAAAGTCCAGCAGAAGCATTGAAAATAGACCCAGAGACAACAGCGGACTTGATGACGCCATTGATAGAGAAGATGTGGAAAGAGGACAAAGTACCCGAGGGCTGGAAGAAAAGATACTTACTCAAACTTCCAAAGAAAGGAGACTTAAGTCAATACAAGAACTGACGAGGAATTATGCACCCATCCATCCCAAGCATCATCCTGGAGAGAATCAAACAACCGTTTGATGAAAAACTTCGACCAGAACAAGCTGGATTCACGAGAAACAAATCATGTATTGATCAAATCGCCACTCTATGGATCATCATTGAACAAAGCTTGGAATGGCAGTCACCTCTCTATCTCAACTTCATCTACTTTGAAAAGGCCTTCGACAGCGTCGGTCGGGAGGTCATTTGGCAACTATTTCGCTACTACGGGGTGACATCAACAATTATACATCTCATCCAACAGTTGTACGACAATGCTGCATGCCAAGTAATCCACAACAGGAAACTTATGGAATCCTTCGAAGTAAAGACAGGATTAAGACAAGGCTGCGTAGCATCGCCTATGATCTTCCTGATTGCTGTAGATTGGATAATACGACAAACAGCGGGTAATGAGGAAACAAGCATAAAATGGACCCTCACGAAAAACCTGGCGGATCTGGACTTCGCCAATGGCATATGTCTGATTTCCCACAAACTGGAAGATATGCAAGTGGAAAGCAACAAGTTGGCAGAAGAAGCATCGAAGATAGGACTTCAAGTGAACACTCTGTATCGCGGTACGTTCAACGTTTGCGTTACATTTTTACGTGATTCGTTACATAAAATTTATCTTGTTGTAATACTTGCACAAGTACTATACCACTTCCATACTTGCAACCATTAACTTTCATTTCTAATAGTTATGGTTAATCAAAGTAAAAAGCGACGAACCCATTCCCCTGTAAAACTGGTGTCTAATATAACGTCCTTGATAGCTACATCAAGCAACACACCCCCTACAAACGGCTATAATGAGTCACACAACTCACTTGTAAGCCGTAAGCGTCGAGCTGGAACTGAGGATAAAACTGTACTGACAGCTAGTGTTAGCACTACTCCTAAAAATTCAGTACCCTCTGCTCATACAGAACCCCTCCCTTCACCTTATGTGCTTATCGAAAAACTCCAGCCATCAAGCTCTTTTTCAGCACTATCTTCAGAAATAGAACTTCTAAAGTTGTCTATAGGTGAACTTAAGGCTGAGTTAAGGGAAATAAAAAACAGTAAGTCAGTAAATGCTGGAAACATCGAAACCGATACCGAGATATCCAAACTATCAGATCAGATCAGCGATATCAGATCGCAGGTCTGTGAATTGACACCTCTAACTATCCTCATGAAAACTGTAAATCTTAACAAGCTTGACACAGAATCGGTAACTAGGGTAGATAACCTCATTAATTTTGTTACCACAGAAGTAACAAAACGACTCGACGCAAAACTGAGTGCTATTGTCTACAACGTTCCGGACAATGAGGCACTAAAAAAGGTACAGCGCATCTTACTTAGTGAAGCGAAAATGCCTAACTCCAAGACTAAGTGCTATAGGCTGAAGAAGAGTCAACATGAAAAGTGTTGTCCTATTCGTTTTCAGTTCGAAACACCGGCAGAGACAAGAAAATTCATCCACTCCCAACACACCCTATCGCAAGCCAAAAACTACAAACATATAAAGGTCGGGGTGGACAAAACAGTCATAGAGAGGCGCGCACACAACTATCTCACTAAGACTAATTGTGAAACAGGTAATAGGACTTTGCAAGCAGCCATTATTCCCAACCCTGTGAAAGATACAGTAGACCCCACCGCATCACCCCTCTCAAAACACACAGAAATATCCCATCAGAGTGCAACACCAGCTGAAAGGCCACTACACTGTAAGCAAATAAATAACAGAACCACACCACCCATCACCGCAGAATCTAAAATGCCATTAAATAACCCCAGAAAAAAAGTCAAAACCCCCGAAATTCCACTTTGTCATCTCCTAGCCATAACTTCATTGCTAAAGGTAAGGAAAATATGCCCCTAAATCATACCAACAAAAACAGTGGCAGCTTAAATAAACCCACACTTCCCACGGTCAATAGTACTAGCACCCACAACGTGCTTAATCGCACCATGGCACACACTGATATCCAATGTCACAACAATGTCACCCTCAATAGTACAAGTGGTAATAGTCAGAACTCGGATATCAACAACTTAGGGTCTTCAGAGTATGGCACACAAACAAATTTTGACCGGATATATGGTACAAGTCTGCTGGGAACTAACCCACAATGCAGTACACATGAAACCCACACAAGGACACAACTAGCATCAAACAATAGGTGGAATAATAAGCCATGGTCATCAAAAGGATCCAATCATTTTTTATCCCCCGCGTCCCTGTCAGCGTTGAAAAAACAGCTGGTAGGGATGTTGACACTCCTAAACCACTAGAGCTGGCTCCCTCCTTGCATGAAAACAGGAACGGTCTAGTGCACACGTATCCATTAGGCACACTTGACACCTGCACAAATATAGGTCAAATAAAGAACCCTACCCACTTCTGTAACCTAACTAAAAATAAAAATTCCTTGGTCTATAGCAAATCCAGTACTCCAACTCCTAATTCTCCACCGAAAACAGCACACAACAACTCGATAGACATAGGTGAGCATGATGCTGGAACTCCTCTTAACATAGGATCATCATGTCAAGCAGAACTACTGTGTGCTGAACCATATTCGGGGTTGACTAACGAACTTAAATACTTCAAATGCTACTTCAACTCTCATCTTTACGTAATCCTCATAAATGCTAGATCTGTTCTAAATAAATTGCCGATGCTCAGAGCACTCACAGTAATATACAAACCCCCTGTAATTGTCATCACTGAATCTTGGTGTCATTCGAACATCTTGGATGAAGAAATAAGCTTAGATAACTACACACACTTTCGGTGTGACAGGGAAGGTGGTAAGGGAGGGGGTTGTCTCATGTACTTTCTGAATGCACTTACTGTATCACAGCTAGAAAGTAGTACACTTAACATGCCTGAGACCCTATGGGTTAATGTACACTTAAATAACGTAACAGCATTAATTGGATGCACCTACAGAGCACCTGGCACCTTTAGTAATTACGAGACCCAACTTATTAATACTCTGGAGCATTTATCCGACTTACAATACGACCATAAGATCCTATGTGGGGACTTTAACTTACCTGAAATCAACTGGGATATACCCACAGGCCCAACTAAATTTGATAAGTTCTTAGGCACACTGGATATACTTGGCTGGAAACAAACTGTCACCACTCCCACAAGAGGTAACAACGTACTAGACTTAATCTTCTGCCACAATATAAGCCCCCTTTCAACGCTAGTAGGTTCTGAGTTTCCAGGGAGCGACCACAAAACAGTGATGTGTGCACTGCCAATTCCGCTGAGTAGCAATGCAGCTCATACCTCCACTTCACAACAAGTAATATATAGGAACTATAGTAAGGCAAACTGGGCCTTGGTAGAATCAATGCTAAGATCCTCCGAATGGGATGAATACTTCACTACTGATGACCTCTCGAGAGCCCTAACCATCTTCTACCATAACACTAACACATGCTTAGATGCTGTCATTCCACTCCAAACACTAAAGGTTTCCCCACACAGAAAGTCATTCATAAAACCAAAGGATCGTACGAAACTGAAGAGACTCTCAACAAGTTACTTCAAACACCACGACTTTGGCACTCTAGGTCTAATACTTAACACCCTTAGCTCCATCTCACAAGCTCGAGATTTCCGTATGAGAAACGAAGAACGCATCGCAGTAGCCAGTCCTGCTAGAGTGTATGCACTCACAGAAATCTTAAGGAAGCGAATGAATCGCAAAAACCACAGCATTTCTCTCCTCATAGACAAAGGTAGGCTATGCACTAACTCTGCAGACATATGTGAACTATTCAACAAAACGTTTGCAGGTAACTACATTAAGCCCTCAGTCCAGCTACTCGATATACACCCTATTAATAATATGGCACAAACACCATCTCCACTCACACCAAACCAAATTAGTACTGTAAAATTCACTTATGCTAATATTAACCAAACTATAAGAACCCTCAAAAGTTCAAAAGGTTTCGGTACCGATGGTATATCATCTTACTTCTATAAACACGGTGGCCCTGACATTCCTCTACTGCTGCTTAAAATATTCACAATGTCCCTAGAAACTCAAACTTACCCTGACATATGGAAGACTACATTCATTATGCCTAAACACAAATCTGGCTCGAAAACTGAAGTCAGTAACTACCGGCCGATCAATATCACACCTATAGCGTCTAGAATTATGGAGAGACTAGTCAAAGATAACTTAATCAAACATATGCTTAGCCGCAATATTATAAGTCCGAACCAACATGGATTCCTGAAATCCAGATCATGTTTAACGTGTCACCTAGACTTCTTCAATTTCGTAACCAGCAGTCGTGACAGACGGCAACTAGTACTTGTCATCTACTTTGACATTTCTAAGGCATTTGACCGTGTTGACCATCTACTGCTAACAAATAAGCTGAACTCCTTAGGAATACGTGACCCATTATTAGGCTGGCTTAAATCATTCCTTAACAATAGGTCCCAAATAGTTAAACTCGGGTCTGCAACCTCCAAACCTAGCCCTATCACTTCTGGTGTAGTACAAGGTAGTGTCATTGGACCCCTCCTATTTACGCTATACATCAATGACATATGCGCTTGCTTCACGCACGGGAAACCATTCATCTTTGCGGATGACCTAAAAGTAGCTTATACATTCCAAAGTGATGACTTAGGGAACTTCGAGAATGTAGTGCAGAAGGAATTAGATAAAATGACTGCTTGGTCGTCCCTATGGAATCTCCAATTCAATCTGAACAAATGTGGCTGGATCTGCTTTGGCGCACCCTCAATTGACCTGAAATTAACGCTCCAATCTGCTAACCTAACAAGACTCCGAAGTGTTGTTGACTTAGGCCTGAGGTACTCTAGTGACTTGACATTCTCTGAGCAAGTAGCAGCACAGACTAGAAAATCGAGGATGCTCTTAGGATGCATACTCAGGAACTTTCACGACAATGAAGCCAAGCTAATTTTGTACAAAACATGTGTCAGACCACTACTAGAATACTGTCCATTTATTATAAGCAGCACTCGCACACGTGATAAGCTAAGGATGGAAAGTATCCAACGATATTTTACCTCAAAACTCCTAGGCTATGATTGTAAGAAAGACTACATCTCACGGTGTATGATCCTAAAACTTGACCCACTTTGGACAAGGCGACTTATTATAAACCTAATATTCTTCTTTAAGGTCCTTCACAAAATATCATTCTCAGGGAACAGGGACATACAATTCGCACAGGAAGGTTCTTACGATCTACGTAACCAAACTTCCACAGTGACAACTCATTCTTTTAGGTTAACACTCCGTGAAAACTTCTTCACAGTCATGTATTCTAAAATATGGAATAGCCTGCCTATAGATATCAGAACTTGCTCTTCAGTTACAAGCTTCAAACGCTCTCTATACAGACTGTTTCACTCTACTGATTATATTAATAAACTATTTACTCCTAGAACGAATCAATCACTAATCTACTACAGCACCTAAAAGACGCACTCCAACACCCTTAGCAATCTTTAAACTATAAATAAACTAGCAGCATGGATGCATAAAGACAGTACGGAACATACAGGATTAGTTTACCCTTAGAAATAGGACGTGTCACTTTATTGTAACCTTCAAACGCTTGCTATATAAACTGTTTTATTCCAATGACTACCCCTACCAGAAACCATTAATTACTTTTAAAACGCATCAGTCATTAGAACACTAAAACGCTTAGACTCATTAATACACATTATGACACTAAATAAACTCTAAGACTTCGCATAAATAAAGTGAAAAGGCAACTATAATTAAAAGTAATTTTTTACTTATATGTTATAAAATTGACATAAACATTTATACATATACATTAATATCCTTTTAATGTTCACATACTTTCTCTTTCTGGTATTCTGCTGCTCTTATTCATCTTCTGGTCGAGGTCGAACAACCCTGCATCTAAACTGAAATGAGGATTAATTCCAAACCATCTATATCATAACCACTCAAATTCCATGAACGATCCAAATCTACCATTTGAAGACGCTGGCGAACATGCTGTAAATGAGTATTCATGATCTGAAATGAAGAAGCAACTGGTTTCCAACATTTTTCTGAACTTACGAATACAGTCCGCCATGCAGACACAAATGGAGCAAATGGAGAATTCTGGAATCGACCTCGACACCATTTGATGCAGTAAAACAACTTAATATGACCTTATCTAGTTTTCGTATCCACGGTCAAATTTCTTTCCTGTTATAAAACTAAGATAAGACTGCTGAAAAAGTGGAATAAATATATCACTGATCTCAACATAATACATCAATAAACTTCAAACCAAGGGTGTTGCTCACAACAAAGTTATATAAGAGAATTGACTTCAAGCTTTTTTTCCCAGATATCCGTATTACATTCATCTGATGTCTGGTTTTTTTAATGCGAAGACAATATTTCTATATCTCTTTATGTGCTACACAGACTTTATAGCAGACTGTTCCGACTGACTCTCATGTCAGAGAGAACAACCAAACTGTAAATTCATCATACATCAAACTATGTGTAATTTATATAATAACTTATCCATGCCTGTACAATTGGTATGTTCCTGCATAAACAGGAAGAAATATATATTATTATTATTATAGATAGAACAGAGGTGATGAAGATTCCTAGCCAACATCAACAGCAACAACAATCAGCATAAATGGGAGGAACCTGAAAGAAACAACCTCCTTTACCTACCTGGGAAGCACCGTTTCAACTACGGGCGAACGGAACTGACGAGGATATCAAAGCAAGGAAAGCTTTCATGTCTCTCAAGTCTGTGTGGAGGTCAACAGCACTACTCAGCATGAAAACGAATATAAGATCCGGATTTTCGACTCCA